GTGACTGGGGACCCCCCTAGGGGTAAATGTGCAGGCTGGAATGCTGGGTGTGCCTTGATCGGCCCCCATCAAGGCTTGGGAGAGGGAATCTGTGTGTTTGCCTCAGTTGGCCCCCATTGAGGCTAGAGAGTATTTAGGGGAGTGCACAAGTTGTGCTGGTCTCGACTGACCCCATGGAGATGAGGGGTAGTTGCCCCCCCCCTTCATGCTGGCCCCTATGAGAAGAGTTGTTAGGGAATGCTGTAGGAGTTGGTGCTCCAATTATCAGCACACTCCCTTTGAGAAGACTAGACTAGAATTAAAGTAAGCTTATTGAACCCCTTATGATGACTCCATTCCTGTCTTCCTATCTGGCTGTGAGTGAGAGAGGTGCTAGAAGCCCTCCTGTGTCTCCTTCCTGAGAAATGTCCAACACTAGGCAATTCACTTTGTTTTATTGAGCCTCGGCTTTCTTTATCTATAAAATGAAGCAGTTGAATGAGATGAACTCTGAGAAATATCACCCTTTAAAGAACTTCAAAGATTATCCAAATGCTCCCATTAGTGGGAACATTGAAACCTACAATATTAAAGTAATATCTGTTATTTAATAATTGTTATAATCAATATAATTGCAGTTAGTGTGATTTTTTTTGCCCTTGTTAAATTTCCAAATAAAAAATTCAAGTCAACAAGCATTAATATGTAACATAGGCATATCCCTTTTTCCCAGCGCTTATAGGGTAGGTTTGCAGTTTTCTGACAGATTACATGTGATGGTAAAATCAACATTTCCACATTTTTTGTGGGAATGAGTCAGAAGATGTCAGAATGATCCCAATGACATCTGAAGGGTATAGTATCCATCCTAGCCTAACAGTGACCACATCCTATACTCTTGATTAGTTCTGGAAATTCTTGAGCTGCTTCAGGTTGTAGATTTGATTTATAATTGCCCCAGCAGTTCTGGTCTAGTGCAATTCAGTTTGGGGCTGACCTCAACTCCATGGCTGAGAAGGTGAGAAGTTTTAGGAGGACAGAAATAGCTCTAAAAGCTATCATCACAGCTGTCTGTAAGGTATCACCCCCAGGCACTGGGCCAGCTTTTACTTGGCAAGGACTCATGGACATAGTTATTGGTAGAGAAACAGGCGGCTTAGTCAGCTGATGTATCTGCTTCTTACACAATAAGTTCTACCAAATTAACGCTGGGACCACCAATCCCACAATCCCTTCAATGTACACCCCTTCATATTAATTTTAAACTGGTGTCACCTACGTAAAATTTCTGCAAGGCAGTAGTACAAATTGATTAACGTGAGTGCTTAGTACAGTGTCTGGCACATAGTAAGTACTTAATAAATGCCTATTGACTAAATAAATATTTATTGATATAATTATAAAGCAAACATGTCATTTGATCTTGAGTCCCTGTTCTAGTGTGAGTGAATAATGCACTAGTGTAAGTGAACATGTGACTATGACTCTGAGCAGCATTCAACAGCTTCTGTCACTGAAGGATGAAGTCATTTAGGCCCAGAGAGTGGATTTCTTCCTCTATTTCCTGCTACTACTAGATTTCAAACATTGAACCCCAAAGAAACCTGACCATTCTCTATAATTCTCTGAGCAAAGTGTAGAAAAATCCTTCTTCTTTTAATTTAACTGACACAAGTATATGTTCAAAAGTTTACCCAAGAAATTAAGAGAGTAATATGAGACAAAGTGATAGAGAAACCTCCTTCCATTTACTGCTAGAGGCTCTTTCCTTAGAATTCCATTTTCACCTCCTGAACCCATTTTGATGTCAAGGCCAGAAGGCCAACATACTCCCTCCAGCACAAAAAATAGCTAGTGTCTCTTTTCTTGATGCAATTTAAACTCTTCTACATCTGGTTAGTAATAGGTATGTCATATTTAAATTCTGGCCCCAGCCCTTACCATGGTTCTTTCCTTAGAGCTTAAAATGTCATGCTCCACAGTAGAAAACCATCACTTAAGAGGTTGAACCTAGCTGGCCACATTGGTGTGCCAACAAAAATTTAACAATCAGCTCTCTGAGGGAAAAATGTACACAACATACTTTTAAGTTTAATTTGCATTACGAACATTTCCCCCATCACTTTCTTAAGCTAGGCAATTGAGGAAACAACGAATCAAGCCCTGATTTATATCAATTTGCTGATATCCACAGCGTAATGGTCACATTAAAAGATTTCAGCTGGGAGATCTCAGGTGTAAATAGTTTGAAGGGGTCAAGAGAAGGCCAGAAAGTCCTGGTTGAATCAGGGTAGCAGGAATCTGGTCAAGCAGCCTGTGTGATGATTACCTAAAGCTGTGGAATATTGGCTGTGATGAGAGATAAACTGGGATTCGTATGGAGGAGAATCTGTCTGAGACAGTAAATCAGATACTGGCTTCTGGAGAAGATACAAGTTTGGAAGTCAATATAGGAGAAGTGAGCTGAGAAAAGCAAACAGTCAAATGTAATCATTGAAAATTCAGTCCTTAAAGTTAAACATATCAGCAGTCACCAAATATGGGAAATATAGTCAAAACATATCTTATGTAGGTGGGATGGGGCTACAGTTTTAAAGTTTGTGTAAGAAGAAAATCATATATTATTAGCTAAAGACAGACTTGAAAATTCTTTAAGTTGTCTTAAAAATACAATTTTAAACAGTTGGAAAGGGTCCACCTTTAAATTGGTGGAAAGGGTCTAATTTCCCTTTAAAAGAATTAATCCATATCAGAACTAAGCTCTTGTTCTAGCTACCACATTTGAGCAATAGCCTTTGAGGGAGGGAGAGGAAGAAGAGGGTGGTCAGGTGTGCTGAAACAAGACTAGGCTCATACCTTTTAGAGAAAAGAAGAAAGGAAGAGCCCAGAGGACAAATCACTCCTTTTAAGGTCTATTGAGGGGTCAGCTCTTCTTGGCTCAGTGATCACTTCTCTCTGATGTAGTCAGATAGCAATTATTAAGCCATTACTATGCCAGGCTCTGTACTAAACATTGAGGATACAAAGACAGGCAAAAAGCAGTCCCTGCTCTCAATGAACTCATGATCTAATGGGAGAGTCTAACACAGACATAGTTTAACATGCAAAGAACTATGTACAAACCAGCTATATTCAGGATAAATTGGAAAAAATCAACAGTGGGTCAGCAAACTTTTTTTGGTAAAGGGTCAGATAATTAATATTTGAGGTTTTGTGGGCCAACAAGCAAAATGAAAGATATTAGGTAGGTATTTACATAATGAGAGAAAACAAATTTCCACAATTTTTTTTGATGAAATCCAAAATATAATATTAGTAATGAAGTACATTTTTTAAAAAAAGGTATACTAACGAGAAGAATGGGATTCTTTTTAGGAAGAATAACATCTCATTTATTTGAGAGTCAAAGTTAGTGTTCCCTATCAGAAGGATCATCTCCCAACTGAAAAGTCCCTAGAATGATGCTCAAGACTTTGATCTCCTACTCTGACAAAAGGGAAAGAGAGTCTGAAGATTCCCTCCCTGGCCTTTGTTAGCTGGGTGTTATGGCTCTGAGTAAAGCAGAGCCATAAGTTCAAGGGACCATATCCTTGGTGAGATGACTTAATTGACTCAGATGAAATGAACCCGGTAGACATTAGCAGGAAACAACGTCTATAAATAAGGCTTTGAGATTCCCAGAGCAGCACACCAGCTCAGTTTTGTGCCACTTTGCCTCACTTAAATCCAATTTACACGAAAGTCAAGACATCACCCTCCTGATGTCATTGGGCCTCTTCAAAAATGAAGGATCATCACCACCACCACCAACAGCAGCAGCAGCAGCAGGCACTGTAAGGTGGAGACTATTTGGTGAAACCAATGGAGCCCTTTAGAATAGAGATGCCAGGTCCAGAAAGAAGCAGGTCCAGTGAACCCAACCAATAGAGATAAGTTGACCAGCAAAGAGTAGATTTAAAGGCAGCCATATCATTACACTTAGAAGACATTAGGGATCCTAAAATGCAGAAGGTATAAGCTGCCTTTCCACATATATCACCTATATATAGATATGATCCTTATGCAAGTTCAAGCTTTCCCTACTGATGGTATGTATATTTGTGTGCCCTAGATTTATGAGAGGAGTGTCCTATTGCAAATCTTCTTACTACATTAAATATTTTTACTTTGAAATAATTGTGCTTTCTAAATGAGGGAAAAAGTAATTATATCCGTGGGGACTTGTGAGCTATTGTTTTGAGAGAATATGTACCCACAGAGTACCATAAACCTGGGTAACCATTTTGGGGACCCCACTTGTGTCATGGTAACTACATATAAAATGATGTTCAGAACCAAGAAAGTGATAGCCCTGCTGTACTTTGACCACATTCAGAGAATGTCTTTAGTTCAGGGTACCAAGTTTTAGGATGGACATTAAAAAATGAAAAAGTCCAAAGGTAAGGCAAGCAAGTGAAATTACTGGAGGCTCTGCCAAACAGGATGAACTCAAGGAACTGTGGATATTTAGCCTGGAGAATAGTAGATTTAGGCATGCCATGATAACTGTCTTGAAATATTTTAAAGAGGTATTTCATGGGGAAAATGGATTAAAATGGATGGAAGTTACAGAGGGCAGATTTCGGTTCCATGTAAGAACAATTTCCAGGAATTAGAGCTACTTCAAAATGAAATGGGTTGCTTTGGGAGACTGTGAATTCACAACCACTTTTGGTGGGGAGTGGGGGGAGGGCGTCAAAAAGAACTGGGGTGTCCACTTCTAAGAATTCATTCTATTTCTGAGATCCTATGACTATACACGTTCCTGATTTCTTCTCTGGGCATTCTAGTTCCCTCTCTAGTTAGCTGCCGTCAGGGCAGGCAGGAAAACAAGACCTTGTCTCTGTTGCTATGGGTTGCTATAACAACCGCTGCACGCTCAGCATTGCCTCCTCCCATCCAAACACTCCCGCTCCCTCCTGTTTGTATCTTTTGTTCTTTTCCAGATTCTCAACTTTGGCCGCTCCCCGCCCTCACCCCTCACCCCGCTGGGAAAGGAGATCCTGAGGTTGGGGATGAATTAGTTTGGGGTTGGAGGAGGGAAGGCGTACATTAATGCATCTTCTGGGTGCTTGCTGACGGAAAAGGCGCAGCCCGAAGTGCTTAAACCCCTCTGGAGGCAGGACTCGTGGTGGTGGTGGTGAAGTCATGTCTGATAATGGCTCTGAGGAATATGAGGAGGAGGAGAAATTGCCTTATCTCGGGGTGAGGAAGATTATGGATTCGGGGTGAGGAAAGCTGTTGAAGGGCGAAGAAAGAGGGGAACATTTGTGCCTGTCTTGTGACTTCAGCCTTGCATAGTATCAACAACCCTCTGCTCCTGGATGCTCTCTCTTTGCTTTGCTTATTAATACTGAGAATGACATGGTTAACAGAGTTCTGTTCTGTTTTACTTCCAACCTTCCTGAAAACTATCCTGTTTTCTTTAACGGAACATCGTACCTTCTCTGCCTTCTTGTGTGTGTCCCAAGGATCTTTTTTTTTTTTTTTTTTGCCCTCTCTGTATCTGTCTTCTAGCCTTCCCTCCTTCCCTTCCTATTTCAGTGATCTCATCAACTCCAATGGGGTCAGTTGGTGGTGTAATGCAGCGGAAAAAGTGTTTAACTTTCCCCCTGAGCTTGGAGTCTGGGGGAGTATGAATTTGAATCAGCCACTTGAGACTGAATCTTTCTAGTCCTCCCTGTGAGAGGCAGATGGTAGTATGTCCACCCTTAGGAAAAACCCCTTTAACCATTAGTTTCTCCATTTGTAAAATTAGTTAGTTCCACTAGATGACTTCTGAGATCCCTTTAAGACCTGGATCAATGCTACTATGACTCTATGCCAGGTAGTCATATATATATACATATATATATATATATATACATATATATAAATACATAGGGATAGAGACTGGACCTATGATTGACTGCATTCTACCAATCCAGGTGGATACCTTCTTGGCAGTTTATAGTCTTAGAGGTTTGCCTAGAGCGCTGAGAGATTGTTACTTGCCAAGGGTCATCCAGTATGTGTCAGAGGTGAAACTTGAAACCAGATTTTCCAGGTTTTGAGGCCAATTCTCTATCCACTACACAATACTGACTCTTTTCTTTCTCCTAAACTTAAGTCCCACGTTTCCAACGGCCTTCTAGACATCTTCACCTGGCATCTTAAGCTCATTACACTCTCCCCATCCCCATTACTATCTCTTCCCTATTTCTGTTGAGACCATCATCCTTTCATGCCACCCTGTAGTCTCCGTCCACTCTTCACTCTCAGTTACTTTCATGTTCAGTCAGTTGTTAAATCTGGCCATTTCTACCTCAACAACCCTCACAACAACCCTGTCCCCTTCTCATCAGGGTGTTGAAAATGACTCCTAGCCACTCTTTCTTTTGTAGGACTCCACTCAAAACCTTCAGTGGAGGTCTCTGACCCCTTGTATAAAAAAACAAGCTCTTCCTGGTATTTAAAACTCTTCACTATCTGGTTCCAGCCTACTTCTCCAGACTTGGATTCTCCTTTCCAGTCAAAAGGACTTGCCCACTGTTTGCGGAACTCTCCAACATAGTATCTCTTATCTTGGCGTTTTTGCACTGTCCCCCAAGCCTAGAACACATTCCCTCCCAACTTCCTTTAACCTTTTCTTATAGTCTTAGGTGTCACTGCAATTGGAAGCCTTGTCTGATCTCTCTAGTTTTGGGTTTTGGTTTTTTGTTTTGTTTTGTTTTCTTTGTTTTTCTCTCTCCTTACCTTGTATTTACTCATCCAAGTGCTTTATCCCCATAAACTCTTTGAAAGGCAGTCTATACTTTTGTTTGTTTTCCTCTGTTTTCCTCTATGCTTTGAACTTAGTATGTTCTTGATTGACTTTCTTGGGTCAGTGCTTTTGTCTTGTACCCTCTGCAGATATCTGGGGGTCAAGGGCAGGGTGGATTCTGGGAAGGGATAGCTGGAGGGTAAAGAAGAGCCAAAGGGTGGGAAAGGTATTTTCCTGAGTCTTTCCCTTTCCTCTCTACCCATCCCTACTAAAATCCCGGGAGATCTAGCCCGTGGCTAAGTCTGCAACTGCAGTAGAAACAAGTGCCAGGACTATGAGACTGGGTAGTGGTATAATGTACAAGATCCAGCTTTTGGAGCCCCCTTTGACTTTTGATTTCTCCAAAATGACAGTGATTACTATCCCATTCATTTCTTCTTGTTGTCTTTCCACAACTGCCTCCCAGTCCCTTCTCTCTGTTCCTTCTAAGCACTTACCTTTTTAAATGCTCATCTGCCTCCCTCTCTTCATCATTTTTCATTGCTCTCCTGCCCCTTAACAAACCTCCAGAAAAAGGCTGCATACCAGTATCTTCCAGATACTGATCATGCCATTCTATTCCTTTTTTAATAGTATTTTATTTTTTTCTCAATTATATGTCAAGACAATTTTTAGCATTCATTTTTACAAGATTTTGAGTTCCAAATTTTCTCCCTCCCCTCTTCCTAAAACGTCATGCCAAACTTTCTCTGGTTTCCCATTGTTTATACCATAAAAGCCAAATTAATCATTCAAAGTTTTCCATTATGTTTTTCCAGCAATGCCCCCTTCCCTTTTTTCTAGTGCTTTAAAATTTATAAAGTACTCTATAACAATCCAATATCACGATATTTTAGAGATGAGCAAACTGATATTGAAGGTTAAGTGACTTGCCCCATCTGACCCAGTGTTTAGCTCAGTGCTACTTATCTGGCAGCTTCTATACTGGTGCTGTCTGGTACTTCATAAATGCTTGTTGACTTGAATTCACAAAACTAAGAAGTGTCAGAGCTATGCTTTAATCCCACTTTTCCTGAATCCAAAATTGAAGACCACTACTTCAAGCTCCCCCCCTTCACAAATTATGCTTGAAGCAAACTGGATTTACTCTGTGCACCAAGAACATTTCCTACTACCTCCATGCCTTTGTTCACTACACTTTAGGTTTGGAATGTTCTTTCCATCATTCCCTATCCTTCAAGACCCAGATTACTTGCAGTTTTCCTTCTGTGGAGCTCTGCCTCTACCAGAAGCCAGTGCTCACTTTTTGGAATTCTCACAGCACTTTTGTCTATTCCCTTCTCATAAATAACTTGTATTTTTTTATAGCAACTTAAGGTTTAAAAAGTGCTTCCCTAATGACAACTCTGTCAGATTCTAGGCCCTTTATAAGGTGGAAAGAGTTTTGGACGTGGACACAGAGAATAGGTTCAATCCCAGCCTCGTTTTCCTAGTTTATAAAATGGGAATGATTCTTTCACCACTTATCTTAAACATTAAGGCACCAAATTAATGTGAACTATTATTTGGTAATAGTTATTTGTGCATTCCTTACCTCTTACTCCAAAGCAGAGACCATGCAGGAGAACCTTATAGTCAGCCAACAAGCATTTATTAATTGCTTACTATGTGCCTGGCATTGTGTTGTGCACTGGATAAAAAGAAAGGTGGAAATAGTCCCTGATCTTGAGAAACTCACAGTTCTAACAGGGGAAACAATATACAAATAACTATTTACAAACAAGATGTATATAGGATGATTTGAAAATAATCAACGAAAGAAGGCATTAGCATTAAGCGGGATCAGGAAAAGCATCTTATAGAAGGTAAGATTTTAGATGGAACTAACTAAACTACTTCCAGGCTCCTGTCTACTTAGATTCTATGATTATGAACTCTGATGATGATAGGGTTCAGATGGAACATTCATATGTATCATCTCACCATATCAGAATATAAATAGTTTATCCTTGTTCAATCCTTTATCATTGTTCAATGTGTTTTACCTTTTTTACATTTCTCTTAAACTCTATGTTTGAACTTAGAAGGTTCTATGAAACTCCAATCTTTTCATCAGAAATGCTTATAAGTCTTCTTTTTCATTTCATTTTTCCCCCTACTCAGATTTGGGTGGAGATAAATTCTTTGAATAGATTGCCCAAGGCTGGAGGTAACTTAGAAGTATGATGTAATCAACGTTCATTTGAATAGGTTCAGCCGCTCACTGTAATATTCATTCTCTCATTAAATGTTAACCAATCAGAGTTTATTGCCACCCTTGGGAACACCCTTCTTCCAATGGGCATATAAACTGTAAGCTGTCATGATTATCTTTGGTCTAAGAGAGATGGCCAAATGGTCATCCTTTTATTTAAACGCTGGCGTTATTTTTTTTTAAACATCTTACTGTGAGGGATTGTCTGATGTTGACTACTGCCAAGTGGAGGTTGTGGCAACTTGGGGCAGGAACTGGGTATTAGGAAGTAAACGGAGCTCACGTTCCCGAGGCAGGGGCTGTGCTAGGTGGAGTTGTGGTGAACTGGGATGGGAACTGGATACGGAGCTCACACTCCTGAGGCAGTGGGCAGTGCTATGTGGAGCTGTGATAAGCTGGAGAAGGAACAGGCTACAAGGAAGTAGCCGGAGCATGTGCTCCTGAGGCAGGGGGCTGTGCCACGTGGGAGTGGGTCGGCAGAGGACGAGTTCCCTTTGCTTAGTCCCCTCCCTAAATGCAACGTCAACCCCAGACGCCTCCTTCCTGTGTCCTTCCTGACTTCCTGAGTCACATACCTTCCCTTTGTGTAGCACTGACCCCAGACGCCTCCTCCCGGTATCTGGGCCTGACTTCCTAGGTCACGAGCTCTCTCTTTGTCTATGCACTAATCCCAGACGCCTCCTTCCTGTATCTGGTCCTAGCCTCCTGCGTCACTTCCTCTCCCTTGGTGTGCTAAACCCAGACATCCCCTTCCAATATCTGATCCTACAATCAATGACTAGTAGGCAGGCTGAGGAGGAGGGGCTAAGTAGGTACTTAAGGAACAGTAGAGATCGGAGCTTGCTCTCTCTTGCTCCTGCTCTCTTGCTCTTGCTTTCCTGCTTGGCCTTGCTGTGATGGCCTCTGAATAAAGCTCGAGTGTTTGCACCTCCTGATCGGCTCGTCTCTGTGTTTATCCGGGTGGGCACCAAAGACTGGTAAGTAGTATGACCTTGGCAGCCTGCTCCTTATAGGAGGAGAGAGCATGGCGCGACCAGCACATCTTACAAAAAGTTTATTTTCAAAAAGTTAAAGAATATACAATGACTAATTTTATGTATCAAAAGAAAAAAAAGAGACTCTTGGGAATGAAAAGGAGAAGTGGAGACCCAGGGCATCATCAATGCTTCATTCCTTATACTCATTCCAAGGCTTCTAACATAATGATACTGTTTCCTCAGATTACCACCATTCCAATATTGTTCTGCTACCCACCTGGTGCCATCTCTACACATTCATCAATCATAAGATTCATAAATGGCTCAAACCCCTGCAATATTCCTTGGACATGTCTCCCACCATTTAATTTCAATGATAGCTTCTTGTCCATAAATTTTTTTAGTTTGGGCGGGTGCACTTTGCTTATTTTGTTTCAGTTGCAGCCTTTCTCCTCCTCCCTGTCTAAATGCTGGCATTATTAATAAAATGATTAAATTACCCAGAAATTGTGTCTCTTGAAACTTTTTCAATGCCACAAATGTATGTGATCTCATTAATTTAGAGGTTCCTTCTAACCATGTAAATTACAACCCATAAATGGGAGCCCATCTTATGTGATTTTTTTTCCATATCACAGGATCATATATTTACAACTACCTAATACAACCCCTTCATTTTACAGGTGGGGACATGGAGGCTCAGAGGTTAAATGACTTATCTATGGTTACAGAGAAGAAAGAGAGAAGGGGAAGGGAACAAGATTTATTAAACCTCTATCATGTGCCAGGCACTGAACTAAGTGCTTTAAAAATATTATCTCATTTGATCCTCACAACAATCCCATGAGACAGGTGCTCTTATTATCTGTATTTTATAGCTGAGACAACTGAGTTAAAGAAAGATGAAATGACTTGCCCATGGTCACACAGTTAATAAATATCTGAGGCTAGATTTGAACTCAGCTCTTCTTGTCTCCAGGCCCAGTGCTATATAAACTTTGCCACAGGGATAGTAAGTGTCAGAGGAAGGCTTTGGATCTAGGTTTTCCTGACTACAATTTCAGCACACAGTGCATTATGCTACACTGCCTACTCTGTTCTTTGGGGTTCCTCACTGATGTTGGTTATATGTTGGTTTCAGTCTTGTCTCTTTCACAAAGCAGTGAATTTCACTAAACATATTTTGCAGTGTTCCAGGGATTACCTTGATTGTTGTTTAGTTTTTTCAGTTATGTCTGATTCTTCATGACCCCATTTGAGGTTTTCTTGGCAGAGATACGGGAGTGATTTGCCATTTTCTTCTCCAGCTCATTTTACAAATGAGGAAATTGAGGCAAACAGAGTTAAGTATTTTGCCCAGGGTCACACAGATAGTGTACAAGGCCAGATTTGAACTGAGAAAGACGAGTCTTCCTGACTCCAGGCCTGGGGCCCTATCCACTGCACCCCCTAGTCCCACTGTGGTTAGTACAATATTATCTTTTAATGGGAGTAATTTTATCCTTTTGTCATGGAGGGAGTAAACTGGTAGTCAAATCCAGGTTCTGTAACTCCATACCCACTGTATTTTCCTCCACTACACCTCTCGTTTTCCATGATGTTGACCAACACCTTTAGATTTCTTTGTTCTGTATCTTATTTAGAGTCGATACCAAGTGGGTGATTGAACAAAGTTATCTCTGTGGTTTTGTGTATTATATAATTTTTGTATATTTTGTACGTAAAGCCTTGCAAAATTTTTATACATGTGTGGGAGACCCCTTGACTGTGGAAAGTCTTCAGTTCTGTCTTTTCTTTTAGTAAGTTAAATGCCTTCATAAAACCAGTAAACAATAGAGGAGCTTTTAAATTCACTATACCTCACTCAGTTGTATGACTCTCAGGAAAGAATCTGATGTGAGTTGTCTAAGCTTTATTGTAAGTTCAAGGCACTGTATTATCTCTGGGTGAAAATTTAGTTTTTATTTCTAATTGTGATGTGAAGAGCTTTACCTAAAGTAAAAGGAATTTCAGGCATTAATGAGCATGTGGAAAAGATATTTTGGGGAATAGGAGAGCCTTCTGAGAATCCCTGAAATTATACAAGATAGGCCACTTCCTCTGGTTACTCATAAAGACAACTTTGCTAATATTTCATACATTCAATATTTTCAAAATTCCTTTTAATAACTTAATTTTAATAGACTCATCTGTTTAATAAATCATTTCACTTTGATTATCTAATTTCTTCAGGAATATGTAGGAGAACGCAATGAGCAAGGTGAACGGCATGGACATGGGAAAGCAATATTGCCCAATGGGGATACATATGAAGGGCAATATGAACATGGTAAAAGACATGGTCAGGTAAGAATAAATGTATTAGGTGAATTGTTCTTCTAAAAATTTTTAGGGCATATTTTAACTTAGTAGTAACAAGAAAAAATATGTTGCAGGGGACCTACAAATTTAAGAATGGTGCTCGATACATTGGAGAATACCAAGAAAATAAAAAACATGGCCAAGGCACTTTTTTCTATGAAGATGGATCACAATATAAAGGTAAAAATGAATCCTAAGTTAAATATTACTGTTTCAATGTAAGAAAACTAGTTTGGTGTTTTTGTTTTGTTTTGTTTTTGACTACTGAGCTTATCTATAAATACGAAAATACATGAAGGAAGCTCCAGATTCTTTGGTTCAATTGGTCAACTGTTATTTATTGAGTACCTGTTGTTTACATGGCATTATACTATCCACTGTGGGAGATGGTAGATAAATAAAAACGTAGTCCCTTCTTTCAAGGACTTTGCAATCTAGTCAGTAAAAGAGAGAGAGAGAGAGAGAGAGAGAGTAATGTAAGGCACCTTGTTAATAAATGCCAAAAAAATCATTACTTTAAAAATTCATTTTGGGTTAGTGTGATCAGAAAACACTTTTGAGAGAAGTGAAGTATGAAGTGAGTATGTAGCATTAGCTGGAGTACAAGTATGGAGTATTATCTGTAGTATGAGTATGGGGAATGACACAAACAAAGGATTAGTTGGAATTATTGGAGAGTAACAATAGCTTGACTGAAACAGAATGTTCATGTTAGGAAATAATGGGAGTAAAAAACTAGAAAGTTCTACTGGGGCTAGATTGTGTCCTCCAATACCAGGCTAAGGAGTTTGAAGACATCATCTAGTAAGTAGCGAGAAACAATTGAAGGATTTGGGGCAAATAATTGACATAATCAATGAGGTATTTTAGGATGATTCTTACCCAGTTGGAAGAAATGAATGCTGAGCTTCTAATACACATCAAAAGCTGGTACTGAGGCAGGATACAGTTTTGATGAGGGTCTTTATGAAAATATTTATTTATTTATTTGAATATTTATTTATGCTGAAGTTTTCTTTCACCTAAAAGAAAGGCACCAGGTAAATCCTTTATTTGTCTTACTAATAATTTCACCTTTATTGTCAAAGATAATAAGACAATAAGCATTTATTAAGCACCTTCTATATGATAGCCATTGTGCTAAACACTGGGGATACAAAGAAAGGCAAAACACAGGCCCTGACCTCAAGGAGCTCACAATCTAATGGATATATTCTAAAGGTAGAGAAAGTATAAAGGAAATTACATTCTAAATCTAATTTTGACCAACAAAGAACTTGCTAGTGAAGAAGAAATGTCAAGAACCATGGAAGGACGTAATTATGCTATTTTCAACTCAACACATCCAAAAGATAAGGCATTATTTTTAACTGCAAATCCACCCCTGGCCCTAATTTCCCTATTTTGTTTAGGGTGTCACTATCTTTCCAGGCATTCAGACTTGCAACCTTGGAATAATCCTTGATATCTCATTCTCCACATCACTTAAACTGTGTGTTGTGGATTCTACATCCACATCTCTGATATCTGTCCTCTTATCTCTACTTGCCCAAACTATTTCCAATAAACTTCTGATTATTTTCCTTTCCTCAAGTCTCCCTCCTTTTCATCACATGCTTCTGGATGTGATATAGCTCCCCAAGTTAATACTCCCAAAGTATGGGTCTCCCTTGCTCAAGAAGATTCAGTGGTTTCCTATTGCTCCAAGACTGTATTTGTATCCTAGAAAGAGATTGGGAGTCATCTTTTTGTTATTGTAAACAATTTATGCAGTATTAGAATTAATTAATAATTAGTTTATATTTCCTCTCATCTTGTCCTTTTGTACATTTCTCCCCTTTTTTCCCACCTCTCTCTCTAAAAATAAGAAGGTGGTCAAAGAGAGTGTGAAAAAAACATGTTTCTTCTCTGTTCCAGCTATTCTCTTCCTCTTGTCTTAGCCCTGATCATAGGTTTTTAATCTTTCTTCCTTTCATTTTCATCTTCTTTTCATATTCCTCCTTCCAGTATTTAAGTTTGTTTTACTTATAACTATTCCTTTACTTATTCAGCCCTCCCTCTGAGACTCCTTTCTATCTCTCTCTTGTTCCTGTACCCTCCTATTTCTATTTTGAGTTTATTATATTTCTTTACTGAAATTTTTAAAAATGTGAGTTTAATTACAGTCATGTTCAATCTTCCTTTTTATGATTCAGATGAAAATGAGGATCACTGGATACCCATTTCCTCCCAGCTTTTCCTCCATGACTATATTCTCTTCATCTTGTGCATCTCTATTATACAATGATTTCCCTTCTCTTTTTCCTCCTTGGTATGGTCCCCTGTCTCTCCAATTTTTGTCTTTTCCTAAGATTATTAAAACAGAACAAAACCATCATAGACCCTTCTATCACTTAAACCTTTCTTCATGACCCTTAAAGATATTAAGGTTCTTTGAAGACATCTGTTTATCATCCCATCAACATGTTAACAATTTATCCCTGCATATTTCCTTTCAATTAAACAAATATGTGTACCTTTCTATATTGCTTTTGGCACCTGAATTTACATTTCAAAATGTCTACCAAATTCTGGCTTTTTCATCAAGAAATGATTGAAAATCTTTTATTCTTGTCAAACAATGGGTGTGGGTACCAGATCAATTTTAGGAATTCAGGGTCAGTGATGAAAAAGGAACCACTGAAGCATTTACTATATCTATTTATTTCCCTCCAATACATTTCAAACAATAAGGTATATATAAGTATAGGAAAAGCCAGAGTAAAATACTTAGCAGGAAGTCTCTTCTACTTCTAGTAACTACTTGTAAAATGGTCGCTAAGTGAGAGAAATCATCATTTTTCTTGCCTTGTAGTTTCTGTTTAGACTAACATGACAGAAAGCAAAGTTCACTTTAATTTGGTTAAAGGGTATAATATAATTTTAGGAGGAAATAAGAAACTCTGTGGAATGAAGGAAAACCAAACAGGCAAGAAGATCAAGAAAAAAAGAATAAAGAAAAGAAATGGAGTCAGAAGAGAGAGGACAGATAAAGAGAAGTGGTCTGAAGTGAGGCTGTCAGCCATGGTTAGAAGTGATCTTAAAAGGGTCTTAGAAGATCATTGGATTTAGAGGCAGAATGGACCTAATAATAGAATCTTAGAGGTAGAAGAGATTTCAGATACTATCAGAGTAAGACATAGTAAGTGTTAGCAGCTATAAAGCTGTACCAAACCCAACTGTAGTTGACCAAGAATACTCTTTACAACATCCCTGATGAGTAATCATTTAACCATCCCTTGAAGAACACTAGTGAGGCACTCTCTTCTACTGTTGGATAATGGACTCCCTTCCTTTCCTTCTCCCCCTCCCCGTTTAATAGATAAGGAAAATGAGACCCAGAAAAGTGAACATTTTTAGGATATTCTTTAAAAATGTGCATATATATATATATATATGTGTGTGTGTGTGTGTGTGTATATATATACACATATACATATACACACATATATGTATATATGTAATGTAACCAGTCCTGATAAACGAAGATTTCAGAGTATTTAAAATATATTTAAACAATGTAATATATACTTTAAAAGAAATTCAGTGGTTTCTCTATATTTAATGAAATCCATTGGGCCATATAAATTAGTGCAAAACTTTTCTGAAACAGATCTTTGATTTCATTGGTATACAGAATGCCAGTTGATATACAGAATACTTCAGAGTTGTTGTGAAGATTAAATTAGACAATATATTTGTGAAGCACTTAGCACAATGCCCAGCACTTAATAAGGTCACGAGATCAGTTCTGTTCCTTGGTTGGCTCTCATTACCAGGAGCTGAGAATTCCTCTTACTGAATCTCTGAAACATAAGATCAGTCCCCACTCTCTGACAGGTTCTCATGGCTTTTCTCTTTAGAAGCTGTATACTTCCCTGCTCTTGTGCTCACATCTCTTCTTTCTTATTATTTTGCTTACCTGTCTCTAGTTTCCTCCCTCTTCTACCTAAACATTCTTTTTCCACAAGTGAGAGGGCTAGGTTTGGTAGTCAAAGTCATTCACTGTCTGTGCCTTGGCTGGGCCCTTTTTCAAAGTCTCTTTGGCAGAGTCAAGTTACAATTACAAAGGAGGATTTGTTGGGTTGGGTTTGATTGTTTTTACACTGTTTTCTATTTGCAAACAAAAAAATTCAATAAGAATTTTTGAAGGACTATTATTTCATTTTTAAAGGTACCTCTCTCAGTGAGGTAGCTGGTAACCCCTTTGTTGCCAAAACATTAATTACCATAGGAAAAAGAAAAATCATCAGGTGGTATCTTATGTGAGTGATTGACTCATCTGTTAATGAGTCTATTGACACCATGGTAGGATGGACTTCAGAACTAGTCTATTACAAGCCTATACTCAAAGCCTTTTCAGCTTGGTAGGACTGGCCAGAATTAGTAATTAACTAGCATAAACCAATTATCTCCTTCTGATGCATAATGATGCATCAGAGTAGAACTTTAGTCAAGAACTGCCTGAAATAAAAAGTTAAAAGTGAGAGAAAGGGATCCTTCTCCTTGGCCCTGCATGAATGGGGGGTGGGGAAGGGGAGAGGAGGGAGGGTTGTTTCACAAAAATATGGCAACACCTGTATGAACTGATACGAAGTCAAGGTCGAAGAACTGGGACATCATTATGCGCAATAACAGCAATGTTGTAATGATGATAAACTGTGAAACACTTGACTACTCTGATCAATACAATGATCAATACAATACAAAGGACTCGTGATGAAAAAATGCTATCCACCACCAGAGAGAGAACTGATGAACTCTGAGTGCAAACTGAAGTATAATTTTCTTACTTTTTCTTGCTTTTTTTGAAATATGGCTAATATGAAAATATATTTTGCATGATTTCACATGTATAATTAATATTGTATTGCTTACCTTCTCGGTGGGTATGGGAGGGAGTGACAATGAAAGAGAGAATTTAGAACTCAAATTTTAAAAATAAAGGAATGTGGGGGCAGCTAGGTGGTGCAATACAAAGAGCTCTAGCCTTGGAGTCAGGAGGATCTGAGTTCAAATGTGACCTCAGACACTTAACTAGCTGTGTGACCCTGGGGAAGTCACTTAACCCCGATTGCCTCACCAAGAAGCTTAAAAAAAATTTTTTTTTAAATAAAGGAATGTTAAAAATAAATAATATATTTTTTAAAAAGCTGTGTCAGAACCCTAATCATTATATAGAGTTATTTTTCTGAGCTCTGAACCTCTGTTTAAGAAAAATAAAACCTAAAGCTTAACATCTAGAATCTCTGCATTATGACAGTTATTTGGAGGTAACTGCCTATCGCATGAACTCAGTAGGAATATTTTTCCCATAACACAAACAATGCAAGAACTGCTGTGAGCCTCCAGATGGAGAAGTTACCTTGGGTTAGGGAGTTGATTACTGTGTAATCATGGTCTGTATACTGGGAAAGTATATAGTTTAACTGTATCTATGGGAATCCTAAACCATTTGAACTATGTGTCGTTTTTTTTTTTTTTTTAAGCCAGCTTTCAGTGAACTGAATCGCAAATGCCCAGGAGTAAATAAACAGCTTTAATTCTCCAAACCTATAAAATGACAGTGTCATCTCATAGCTTTTCATTGCTGAAGAAGCTACTATAATAGCTATCAAGTCCGGAATTATATACCTGGCTTCCAAGACCCTTTTTCAATTGCCTACATCCTAACTATACAACCTTTTTTTTTTTTTTTTAAGCTCACTACTTTCCAACTCAACCCCACTTTATACAAGACAATTTTTTTCACTGTACTCACATACCATAATTGTTCCCACCCCCATGTGCTCCTCTGTTCCCTTCCACCCATCAATATCTCTATCATTCTTCAAGATATCATGGTTATAAGGGAAAGAATACTGGCCTGAGAGTTAAGGAAAAGCTAGGTTCTTTTGTTGGTTCCACCTCAAACTGGTTGTGTGGGCAAACTGTTTCAGCATTCTGTGTCTCAGTTTCCTTATCCAGGGTTAATAAAAAAAAAAAAGCAAAGGGTAATGGGCTAGCTCATCTGAAAAGTCTCTTATAATTCTAATATTCTGTGACTTTATTGTTAGGCTCAAGTCCTTCGAGCTCTACATAAAGCCTTCCTACTATAACCCTCATTCATCCTTATAATTTTTCTACAAAAACAGCCTATTCTATGCAATTTAGCACAAATTATATTTTATATTTTCTCATATTCGTTCTCTGATTTATGTGCAATAGCCTAGTAAGCTTTTTTAGGGAAAGAACTATGTCTTCTATTTGTATAAGTGCCTAACATATATCAGGTACTCAATAAATACTTTGATTAACTGACCAATTATTTAGGGTTCTTCTGAAAGCTATGACTTCTTCCAGATAAATGTTTTTGTTATTCAAACTATTAATATTTCTCTTTAGATGTGTGTGTGTATTACACCACAGTAAATTATAAAATTTCAAAGACGACCCAAATTGTATGTCTTATGCCGGCATTTTTTTTTTTTTTTGCATTGTCAATTTCAGGAGAATGGGTAAATGATGAAAGGCATGGCTATGGAGTTTATCGCTACCCAAATAATGACACATATACAGGAGAATGGTTTGCTGGCCAAAGGTTTGTTGTTTTGTTTTTTGTTTTACTGTTTCTTCAGTCTTATATTTTTATTTAGGCAAGTAGAAGACTCTGATGTGTCTTTAGATTTATTATAGAAAATTCACAGCAATAAAATCTACAACTCAACTTTTTACATGAATTGGAAAGAAAGCATTCTGGAAAATATCTACCTCAGTATGATTCTATGGCATCTGTGTCAGAAAACCAGGTTCATGATAACTTATCAAGTCAGCCTTCCACAAGCTGATGTAGAAAAAGTTTTCACCATACTAGAGAAGGTAGAATTTGCACTCTGCTCTCATTATCAACAGAACATGGAGGAACATAGAAGATAGAACACTAGGCTTGGATTCAGTGAACACATAACCAGGTTATGGTGATTGGTGCTTTGTCTCAGGGTGCTGAAATCTGAAGACTGCTCACAGCGCTTACCTTCAGCAATATAAAAATAACTGAGTTTAGATCCTAGGTAGCAAAAATAATTAGGTAACATAGGAAGCTATGAGATGGAATGTGTTTTCTTTCTCCCATTTTATTGTTCCCCAGGTGAGCTTTCCTGCAATCTTTACATGGAGTAGAGCAGCATTACTTTGTTCTGGATTTTGTAAAACTTTCTGAGTGTAAAAATTCTAATTTCTCCTCTGATACTTAATTTTATTTGACCAGAGATGAATCATTTAACCTCATTCAACCTTAGTTTCCTCATCTGCAAAATGGGAATATCACTATATGCAATGCCTATCTCAGTGTTGTGAGCTTCAAAAGAAATAAAGTACATAAATCACTTAGTACAACTTAATGTGCTATACAAATATATAGCTATTGTCATAGAAGGGATTGTGTTGAATCCCAGAGAAGTATTACAGTCTTCTACTCATTTCTAGGAAATGTGCACATTCTTTGTGTGCCTTTTAGAGTGATATACAAAATTACTAGAACCAACCACCATGTTTAGAAAGCCAAGTTTGGTTCCATGATTGGCTCCTCTGTCTAAGCATAAGACTGAGGATTTTCCCCCTCTTTGACCAGTGTATATGATAGAATTGGGCAAAAATATTTCCTGTTTTATAACTATGTAACTTCCTGTCTGGAATACCAACCCAAGTCACTGTCAGACTGAGTCCCCAGAGGAATGGCTATACCAGATTCAAGGTGTTCTGTGGTTCTGTACTCTTAAAACTGTAGCTCATGACATCTCACCAGTGAGTTTGCCTACAGTATTCAGCCAGAGGATACAGTTGGCTAAAAGCAAAGGCATTTACTTTGCTTAGTAAATAAGCAATAAAAAGTATAGTAATAAAACATCTTCTTTGTAAACTTCAATTATACTATCTCTCAAGGACCCAAAGCATCAATTGAAAGAGTAGTATTCACAAAGAGGTCAAAAGAGAGGCATATACATAAGGAATATGAATACCCAGGAAGGTTGTGTATCATTTACAAGTATAGGCATATGTATAGAAAAAGCAACTAGCACCTCTGGTGTGAGGGCTTGCTGAGCCCTTGTCAGGGCGCTCATCCACCTTTGGTGTGCACCCGTCCCCCAGCTCTCACTTCCAAGAAGCTGTAACATTTCACATTCCAGTAAACCTTCTCACCAGATGGGCTAAATCAGGTTGAGAGTAACAGTAAGCCTCAGATCCATAGGTGGGTTAGGGTGGCGTCTACTCCAAGCAGTGAAGATGTCGCCCAGTAGAATGGTTGGATGAAAACAATTTGTTCCAAAAGGCCATGAAAGCAGCTGAAGCAGGAGCTCTTAGAGCTTGGTCAGACACGAAGGTCATCCACTGCACACTGGTCCATTGCTAATTGTCCTAACTTTGTCTTGCCACTGGACTTAGACTTGAATGACTGAAAGAGAAAGTAAGACTGACAGTTTTGTGCAACTCTGCCTCACTTAAATCCATTTTATGTGTGAGTCAAGACATCACCCCATGATGTCATTGGTCCTCTTCAAAAACAAAGAACAAATAACAACTTGTGTAAGTATATGTATTCTTTATATGTATAAGAATGTATATGTGTATATATTCCTTTTCAGCACTGCTTAAAAGAATGCCATACATGTTTTAGCTCTAGTTTCTCCAGCAATGTGTTAAATTCTACAGTTTCCCTTTTGTTCATGTTTCTTTTAGATTTGTCCAAAACTGAGAAGGAAAGAAAAGTTTCCTGCTATTACTATATACATCTTGTAATTCAGTTCATTTTTCTTTATAAATTTAGATCCTATGGCATTTAGAGCATATGAGTTTGCTATTGATTTGTTTTGATGTCTATGGTTCCTTTTGGCATAATGTTGCTTCTTTGGTTATTATTTATATGCTGGGAATTTTTGGTTTTGCCTTGTCTGTTCATATAATTGCACCGAGAGTCACACAGAAGACTCTAGTTGAAGGAGTGCCATGTAACTTGGGAGACCTGGGGGGAAGGCAGAGGCAAAGGGGTTTGCCAGAAGAGACTTGCAGAGAAGCAAGAAAATTACCTAGCAGACCCCAGAGCACAAGCATGTTGTTCACATTGTGTATCTCTTCCAGTGCATGTGGGCTGGTTGGGAAGAGATTTTGAGTGATGAGTGCATTAGAGATTATGGATTAACCTTCTCTACTGCTAATTGATCAGCTTATTATGTTGTTAGAGCTCTTGGATTCTTGGTCTGTGGAGACCGTTGTAATTATTTTACCTCTTGTACATAATAGGGCAGCTAGGTAGCACTGTGGATAGAGCCCTGGGTCTGCAGTCAGGAAGACATCTTCCTTAGTTCAAATCTGGCCTCAGACACTTCGCTTCAGTGCCTCATCTGTAAAATGAGCTGGAAAAGGAAATGGCAAACCACTCTAGTATCTTTGCAAGAAAACCCCAAATTAAGTCATGAAGAGTTGGATATGCCTGAAAAAAAGACTAAACGACAACACATAATTCTTATTTGAAGAGGTTTGAGATATAGTAAGGATCAGAAAAAATGTCTTGTCCTCCATCTTGTTGGTGTTACGTCCCAGAAGTCCTACATAGGATATTCCAGATAGAAATCTGACCTTCCCTCACACTAGAACAACCAGGTGAATTCTCCTTTGCTTACTACTGCCACGTACTCTTGTTTTAATATGTCATCTTCTGGCTATGGGTGCCACCACAAGTGTATTACTTATATCTCCTTTGTACCCCTCTCCCTTTTAATTCTGTAGCTATTATCAAATCAACTCTATTTCTTTTCTTGAAAAGAGTGTGCCATTCTACTCCTTTATGCTTTCCTCTCACCAGTCCTGCACTGTTCCAAACCAAAATCTTCCTTCTTGGTTACCACTTCCCTGTATATACAGGCCTATTTTGTTTTATTGCACTTTGCTTTATTGTGCTTTGCAGATATTGCATTTTTTGGTTTTGTTTGTTTTTTGGGGTTTTTTTTGTTTGTTTGTTTTACAAATTAAAGGTTTGTGGCAAACTTGCCTCCAACAAGTCTACTGGCATCATTTTTCCAACAACATGTGCTCACATCATGTTTCTGTGTCACATTTTGGCAATTTTCACAATATTTCAAACTTTTTCATTATTATTATAACTGTTATGGTGTTCTGTGATCAGTGATCATTGATGTTACTTTTTTCATTGTTCTGGGGTACCATGAACCATTGGTCCTCTTCAAAAAAAAGGATAAACAACAACTTGCATAAGTATATGTTTTCTTTATATGTATGCCCATAGAAGACTGTGAACTTAATTGATAAATATTGTGGGTGTGCTGACTGCTCCACTTACCAGTCATTCTTCCATCTCCTCCCTCTCTATTCCCTGAGGCACAACAATATTGAAAAATATTTCATAAACTTAGTCGATAAAGCAGTGGTGGAGTTTGAGAGCATTGACTCCAATTTTGAAAGAAGTTCTGCTTCTTTCTTTGTAGAACACCTACTTCTTTCTTTGTAGAAGATCTAAAATGCTATCAAACAGCATCTCATGCTCTAGAGAAATCTTTTATGAGAGGAAGAGTCAATCTATGTGGCAAACTTAATTGTTATCTTAATTTTTAAAATCGCCACAGCCACCTCAACCTTCAACAACCACCACTCTGATCAGTCAGCAGCCATCAACACCAAGGCAAAACCCTCCACCAGCAAAAAGATTACAACTCACTGAAGGCAAAGATGATAGTTAGCATATTTAGCAATGAAGTATTTTTAATTAAGGTATGTGCATTGTTTTTTTAAACTTAATACTATTGCACACTTAACAGACTACTATATAGTATAAACATAATTTTTATGTACACTGGGAAACCAAAAAATTCATTACTCACCTTATTGCAATATTCACTTTATTGAAGTGATCTAGAAGCTGACCAGCAACATCTCTGAGGTATGCCTGTATTGTATTCTCTTATTAAAATGTCATATTTACATCCACAGCACTTAGCACAGAGTTTGGAATATATTAAATGCTTTAAAAATGCTTCATCATGGAGCAGCTAGGTGGCACAGTGCCTACAGCACCGGTCCTGGAGTCAGGAGGACCTGAGTTCAAATCCGGACTCAGACATAAAACACTTACTAGTTCTGTGATCCTAGGCAAGTCACTTACCCCCATTGCCTAGCCCCACCCCAAAAATGCCTCTTCATTCATTCATTCATTCATTCATTGCCATAGTGAACAGGAGAGCTGGGAGAAGAAGTTTTACCTTTTGCTACAACTCTCTGAGAGGATCAAATCAAAGGACAAAAAAATGTATACTTAAATATCTGATTTATTGCATAACGGGCTCTCTTCTTTACTGACTCTGCAGTTCATTTGTTAACAAGGTCAGTTCCTCTACTTTAAACTCCTAAGTCCTTCCCATCCACTCACATCAATGAGTAGATAGAGAAAGGGCTCCAGGGCAGCCAGCTTCCCTTTGTCAGTCTTCAGCCTTATTTTTAGTGGTGTTGCCCACTGAGCTGGGCATGTGTTTTTTTTCCCTAACAAGCAATGTTGTGGAACTCACCTCTAAAAGCTGTGCCTCTTTTAGAACCAAGCTAATTTTTAGGACATAAGGAACAAGTTTGAGAGACAATGAGATGTGAGGGTGAGGATCTTTCAGGTAATACTGTTGTTGTTGTTGTTCAGTGGTTGTACATCCTTGCTCTCAAAGCAGTCACAGTTTAACAGGGAAGCCAACATACAAATAAGTCTGTTCAAACAAGCCATGTACAGAATGAGTTGGAGATAATCAACAGAGGGAGGGTGTTAGAGTTAAGCGGAATCAGGAAGGAATTCCTGTAGAAGGTAGGATTTTAACTGGGACTTGAAGGAAACTAGGAGGCAGAATTTATTTAACATTTTTATCAATGCATAGAGGATTGGATAGCATCACTATGAAATCTGCAGATCACACAAAGCCAGGTGAGAAAGTTAACAAAATAATAACAGAAGAATCTAAGAGAAATTCAAAAGAAATTCAAAAATGTTAGGTCAAATTTAATAAGATGAAACCTATGTTAAGGACCTATGACTTATTTTGTGTAGAATGTCCTCTACTGATGCAGACTGTCTATAACTTAGTTCCTGAGGCTGAGAGGTTAAGAGACTTTTCTATGAGCAATACAGCTAGTGAATGTGTTAGAATTTGAATCCATGTCTTCCTGACACCAGCTCTAGGATGTAGTCCATTACATATGCTATTACTCATAGAATGAAATTTAATGGGGTTGAATGTAACATCTTACACTTTGTTAAAAAAAAAAAAACAACTTCATAAATACAAGATGAGGAAAATGTTATTGTGTAATAATTCATCTAAAAAAATCTAAGTTTTATTAGGCTTCAAGATCAGTAAGGATCTATGAAGTTTATAAGTATCCATCGAAAGGGAAGTCCATCAGGTAATTCATAGTTTTGTTTGGATTTCAAGCTAGAATGGACATCAGACATTATCTAGTGCAACAGTGAAATAGGCAAATTCAGTATTAGGCCACTTTGAGAAAGGCATAGTGTCCAACACTAGGGAAGTGATAGTTCTATTGCATTCTGTCCTCATCAAACCATATTTAAATTATAGCATTAAATTTTAGTTGTTACATTTTAGAATGGACATCGATAAACTGGAAAGATGGCCAGAGGAGTGTGATCACGATGGTGAAATGATTTAAGGTCATGCTATATATGAAGATCATTTAAAAGAATTGGGGATAGTTATATTACATAACAGAAGAACTGACAGCAACTATCTTGAAGTCTACATGGTATTGCCATGTGCAAGAGAGATTAGACATCTCCTCTTGGTGCTAGAGGGCACAATTCAGAATAATAAGTGAATGTTGCCAAGACAGCTTCAAGTCCTGATACAAGGAAAAGCTTCCTAAAAATTAGAGCTAACTAGAGGGAATAAGGGACCCACTTTGGGATGTATTTTAGAATGTATTCTTGTTTAGCTGTAATTGAACTAGATCTAGGTAGGCATCTTGGGGTCCCTTCCAGCTCTGACATTCTATGAGCTTATAAGCATCCACCAAAGAGGAGGGCTATAATATATTTCATACTTTTGTTTTTTATTTAGAATTAGGAGAGACTGTAGACATTTTCTAGTTCAACCCATTCACTTTGCAGATGAAAAAATTGGGGCCCATAGGCTATCTCCTAATTGTACTTCAAAAGCAGAATCATGATCTCCACAATCCTTTCGAGCTTTAAATCCACAATGATTTGCCTAAGGTCATACAGTAAGTAGAAGCAGGGAAGTGAACCCAAATCATTTGACTTCTAATTCCCTGCTATTTCCTCTACATCCAGCAATTTGGCTTTACCTTGATTTTCATTTTTTTCCACCTGTGAAACTTTATTTCCTAATCAATTAAAAAAAATCTCTTTAATTTTAACCTATGTAAAATTTAAAGTATTCCTTCTCAAAACAGGCACGGGCAAGGAACTTACTTCTATGCTGAGACTGGCTCTAAGTATGTTGGTACTTGGGTAAATGGACAACAAGAGGGAACAGGAGAACTCATTCACCTAAAGCATAGATACCAGGGCAAGTTCGTAGGAAAAAATGTAAGTAATTTAAAAAGTGAAGCTTTCTAATAAATGTAACAAAATATTATTATAAATATCTGTCGATGTGTAAAAGTTACAAAATAAAAATACTAAAATTGAAATTTTAAAAAATATGGTGGTACCCTGAGAAAGTACAGTGTGATGTATGAGAGCATTAAGATCCTCTGCCTCATTCACAAATCATTATCTTGCCACTTCTACTCTTATTATCAACAGAGGAACTAGATTTAGATGGAGTCAGACTGTGAGTATTCCAATAACATTTTTTTCTCACATCCCTTTTCCTGCTACTTCATTGTACCTCTTCAAAAATATTAGTCAAATCTTTTAATTCCTTTTTTATAAATATGTTGTCTCCTCAAAAATTGGGAAATCAAATGTTTATTCTTTAGAAAAAACTTGCACATTTATCATTGTGATGTTTAAAAAGTTTGAGAGACATTGTTTCTAAGCAATTAATCATTTTATTAATAATGCTAACATATTACCAATAAAATGGGTCAGCGAACAAAGGGATTAGATTCATTGCTACATGAAACAGTAAAGGCACAAATTAAGAAGAGTAAGGTGTATAATAAATTAACCACCAATAAAATTTATAAAGAAAAATGGACAAGCAATCTGGAAGAGGTCATGATACAATGAATATGCAGTGAAAGATGAAAACCTTCAATGGGAAGAAAAAAAAAAGACCACATACAATCAATCCTCAACTTTCGAAGGGTTAATGTTACTAGAAAGCAGTGCAAAAGTCAAAAACACAAGTGTTGATACATTAAACTTACGGGAAATAGGCGTTAAGTTCCCACAACCACCAAAAACTGTAATCTTTTGCTACAGATTGCTGAAAATACACTTTTCTTCATACAATTCTTTATAACAAAACATCAGTTCTGATGATATACCCATTTCCTAACACAGTAACCATGAAATAATCCATAAAAATGCAGTACACAAAATAAAGGTAACATGCAAAACATTTTTTCTCACTGCTCATTCCCTAGAATTCTGTAACCTTTTGTGTTAACATCAATTTAAAAAAACCTCAACATTGATTTCAGACAATATGTACTTTTCATAACACATGAAATCTATAGTACAATAAATATGTATAGTAAACAAAATTCTTAAAACTAAAACTTTTTTAACCTGAATCTTACCTTCTACTGTGTCAGATGGTGGTGTGAGGGTGTTGTATTGAATATTATTATATTGCTGTAAAACCTCTGCACCTTGGCCACAGTCTGAAAACCAAAGAAGAGATTGGTTGGGCTTTAGTCGCTGCTGTTGGAAGATACCAAGACTGGTGAGGTCTCAACATCACCTCTGACACCGTCCGTTGCAGCTGGTGGATGGCATTGGAGATCATGAAGGATGAGCCGACTCTTTTTTAGAGGATATAACAGATGTTGATTTGTTAACACAGAATTCTGGCACGAAGTTTATCTACCACCTTTGTTTTCTCCCTTAGCTGCCTCACTGACTTTGCACACTTAGGCTTAGAGTCCAAACGACTTGCACTGTGCTTTGGGGGCATAATTGCAACACAAAACTTAAGTTTTAAAGGCAAACAATGAAAATATGCAACAAATGCATGGGGAGTTCTTTTACAACAACAGGGTGAACAAGACCAGTGAAGTTCCTGGTAGGATTCCAGCCACTCCACAGACTTTTGCGCAGTGTGTCTCTCATTTTTTTTCTTGGCTGCACATAGCTGTGAATGTGCAGGTTGCAACATGAAAGTGAAAATGAGGTTACTAATAAAATTACGTGAATGTTTGAAGTCCCCAAAGTTAAATGCACGAATATTGAGGATTGACTATACTTTGTGGGGCTCCCCAGAAATAATGGAACAATAGCAAGAAATCCTATAATGGATCAAGATTTTAAAAACAATTTAAAAGAAGAAATAAGAATTAAATTAGTGCAGAAAATAAAGCTATGAAAGAAAAAAATAAGATAAGTAAGAAAGTTGAAAATTTGGAACACATCACAGAAAATCTCTTCAAAAGTACTTGTAGGCTCCAAAAAAGAGAATGGCAGATTTGAAATTCAAAACTGTAGGAATGGGGGAGGGGAACTGAACAAAATCAAAAGACATCAAGGAAAAATGTGATCTCCATAGCTAGCCAGAGAAACTGACTTTGAAGGTAGGATGGGTAGAGATATTTTGTGAATAATCTATGGAGATAAAGATCATGGGTCTCTCAGATAAACACGATGAATAACATAAATATCACACTGCAGGAAATAATTCATGAAAACTGCTCACAAGTATGACAAATGGGGGACAAGTACAGATTAATAATCCATAGGTTACTAAAAGAACAAAACACAAGTTGGCATCTCCACAGACTATATATACTAATTAAATGTTAGGATTTCAGTGTTACACAGTAAAGATTTCAGGAAGCCAAGAGATAGGTCTTCAGCTGTTATGGAAATCATTTGGAAAAGTCTAGGATTTCTCCTTGTTTATGAAGTTGAAGAAAATATTCTGATATATTTCAAAATGGAAAGGAAAATAAGTAAATCAATTTAGGTAGTATTGTTATATTGGCACAGCCCAACCATGAGCAATTAATACATCTTTCTATTGTCTATTGGGTAATTTTGATTACTAAGAGATTGTGGTAGACCAGGAAGCGGCATTAAGAATACTGGTGTTTAAAAGATTGAGGCTTAGTTCATAGAGAAGTTTGGAGTTTGCTCTTATCTATTAAGTTCTCATCTGCATTCTAATATATGTCAAAAAGATCATCTCAATTATCTGTCCATCCAACTGTGTAACATAATCTGGACATTTTGTATCTAGTTCATTTATTCTGTATAGATTATTAGGTCAACCCAGTTAAAATGGTTGTGAATTTTCAATTAGAAAGCTTTGCAATATTCTGAGTCTTGATTTAATCGACTTCATGTTGTCCATAAATGGGGTCATCTGCAGTACCTCACTGTAAAGTACCTCACTATATGACAGTAATCTCTCTTTCATTTAGATCTTATATAAGTATCCTCCATCACTGGGATTCCTTTTTTGGGGTCCCACTTGACACTAAACAGAAGATCATTGAACAAAAGTTTTTGTTTGTTTGGTTGGTTGGTTTGGTTTGGGTTTTTTGTGGCATCTATAATACTAACATATATATGAGAAACGCTCTGTTATGGGAAGAGTCTTTAAGTAAGCATTTTGTTCCAAACACTTTTTTAAAAAATAGTTAACAAGCAATAAATACAACTTGTTCTTGGGTCCTATGTACCTTCCAGTAATTTGTGTCACTCTAAAAATGTGATCTATTATAGAATATCACTGTGAAAGCCTGCCTGTTTTCTTGTATTGTCATCTAGGATGATATATGAGTGTATTTCTGTATATAATATGTATGTATACATATATTGTATATATGTAAATATATAAACATACATGTTGATGTGTAGATCATTTTCTACATTTTATAGAGATGAGAAGGCTATTTTTAAAATTTCTTTGTGATCACCTTTTTATAAATTGCAATATCATCTGTGATGTTTTCCCCAACTCATTTGCTATTGTTCTCTCTTCTATCCTTCAAATTCCTTAAAATTGAGCTGCCTCAAGCACTCTAGGAATACCTGATCTGGTCTAGCTACTCTACCATCTTTGTTTTCTTTAGTGTTATTGGTAATATCTCATAATATAATAACTAATACTTGTATAGTGCTTTAAAATTTGCAAAGTGCTTTACATGTGTTATCTCATTTGATTACATCAGTTGATGGACAGAATGACACATGTTTTATGCTTTTTATATATTTTCCTGCTTAGTTTCATTTTTAAATGCTTTTGGCGTGATATGGCCTAATTGGATCTCATGAAAACTCAGTTAATATTTTTTGCAGATAATTTTGTCAGATTCTCTCTACAACTTACAAAATAAGTAGAGAAAAATTAAGTATATTGAGTTAATATAACATTTATATTATTAATATAATTAATATCATGTTAACATTTTGATTAATTACATAATTAAATTATTTTATTAATAATTAATATAACATTTTAACAAATACAAGTAGAGTATGCTCTATAATAAATCCTCCCCCAGACAAATATTTCATTTTATTCTCATAACAACCTTGGGAGTTAGGTGCTATTATTATCCTCATAATGTATAACAAAGGATACTTATATTGTATCACTTATTCTACTACATTCTTTAAGTGTCTTAAAATGCAGATTTAGCATTTTGTAAGTTTTTCCTTTTTCTTTACTATCATGTTGTACTTTAATGCAATATATAGAAAAATTAATTTAGAACCTCTTAGTCTGGAAATCATGCTAGCTTGATCAAAGGATGAACTGAAACTTTACATTCTATTAATTATAAAAAGAATTTGTTAAGAAAATTAATGGTGTCAAGATTACTTAGGAAATACTTAGCTTCCTTGATAAAGCAGTGTTTTCAGATACTCTTAAAATCAATGTAAATTAGACTTCGCTAAGGAGCTTTGCTTTGTAATAATCATTAATTTATAAAAATAACCTATAATTTACATTGTTCCTCCCTTAATTTTTCCATATTGTGTATATGGGGCTATTGTATGCTCTAGGAGAGGCATTGTGATGTAATGGATAAAGGGTCAGCGTGGTAATTGGGATGATGACTTGAGCTCAACTTTTACTCTTACACAAACTGGCTGTATATGGGCAAGTCATTTAATCTCTTGGTGTCCAAGCACCTAAGACTAAGAGTTACAGACAAGATATTGATCTGCATTAATGGAGGGAGTTTCAATATGGATGAAATCACAGATCTGGGAAGGAAATTATTAAAAAGCATACTCACCTGTATTATAAATTGAACCTTCACAGTTTGAGGTAACATTTTTTTTTTTTATGCATAGCCAGTGGGCCCCGGAAAGTATATTTTTGATATTGGATGTGAGCAGCATGGTACATATGAACTTAAAGAAATGGTAAGTTGTATAATAGAGTATAATTAGCATGTCTGTAGTTAATATGGCTTATCTACTTATATTGCTACTATAAAGTTAGAAATAGTGTGATTTAAAAACTTAGACAACCGGGAAATAGCCTACTTTTTGTTTTATTTGTGTTTGTAAATAGGAAATCAAAATATTGATCACATTTGTAAATTGGGTTCTGTGATACTCAGTGCTTACTGTTAAAGTCTAAACTTTATTGCATGTCAAAATCAAGCAGTTAATATTTAGAAAGAAAACTTTGGATATTAAATCTTTGAAGATTCAAGTGAACTTTTCAATGTTACTATGACAATATGACTGCCCTGTAATTGATATTATTCATTTCATGGCTGCCCCAAGCTCTAGGGGTTTTTTGCAGCTGTTTTCAGAAATACTTCTAGGGAATTGTAAGTTTTCAGTTCTTCCGAGGTGGTATGATCTAAGCAGAGGTGTTTACTCCTCTCCTGGCCAGTGTTCTCATCTATGAGAAACCACAAGCACTCTTTTTTTTGCCCTGGAACTTTAAGGAGGGTCCCTGCTCCACAGTGGCCATAAGCTCTAGTGTGCTAGTGCTCCTCCTCGCCCTGGGACTGCCCCCTAAGACCGCAACCCTGATCTGAGTAGGGGTCCTACAACAGAGTCCTACCTCAGTGCTAGCAAAGAGACCCCCGTCATCTCTTTATGATCAGTTGTTTGCCCTTCTATGGGCTGCGAACTCCAGAAGCAGCTACTGCTGCTGCTGAGTCAGGGGCTCGAGCCCAAGGCCTGCTTCTGGTTTGCTGAGGCCAGGGCTATGCTGGTGCAGCCTTCACTGAACTGCATTCCACTCTCACCCAGGTGCAACGGACCTTTCCTGATGACTTTCTAATGTCTTTGTCATCTGCGGACTCAGAGGTCTGGAAAATGCCACTGCTGCACTGATTCAATTGCCCTGAGACCTGCTACTAGTTTGCTGGAGCCCAGACTGCACTGACATGGTCTGCACTGGACTCTACTCCTCTCTTACCCTGGTGCGACAGATTTTTCCTGCCAGCCTTCTAAATTGTCTTGAGCTGGAAAACTGTTTCACTTCATCTTTTAGTGGATTCTGACACTCTAGAATTTGTTTAGAGTCATTATTTAAAGGTATTTGGAGGGGTTTGTGGGAGAGCTCAGTTGAGTCCCTGCCTTTATTCTGCCATCTTTGTTCTGCCTCAAAAGAATTATATTTTTCAGTGAGTTTTTGTAGCTCTTTTTTTTTCATCTGACCAATTCTGTTTTTTTAAGGAGTTCTTTTCAGTGGATTTTTGTGCTTGTTTTAGCATTTGGCCAATTCTGTTCTTTCAGGAGTTATTTTCTTGAGCCTCTTTTGTGCCTCTTTTACCAAGCTGTTAATTCTTTTTTTCATCATTTTCTTGCATCATTCTCATTTCTTTTCCCAATTTCTCCTCTACCACTTTTACATCTTTCTTGAATTCTTCCTGGAATTCTTGCTGGGCTTGGGTCCAATTAGCATTTTTCTTCGAGGCTTTTTTTATAACTGTTTTCACATTATTTTCTTTTGATTTTATGTATTGGTCTTCCCTACCACCATCGTAGTTTTTTATGGTCAAAGTTTTTATGTTGTATGCTTATTTTTCCAGCCTATTCTTAACTTTGGACTTTATGTTAAAGTTGGACTCTGCTCACGTTGGGGTGGGGAGGCACTATCCCAAGCTTCAGGCTTTTTCATGCTACTATTTTCAGAGCTACTTCTGAAGGTCTGCAAATTTTTGGTGTTTCTAAGGTAGTATGATCCTGGGAAAGGTAGTGTTCTCCTGGTCTGCACTCTGATCTATACCCAAGAAGGGCACTTGGTTCCTTGCAGCTGCAAGCACTAGCACTCCTCTTTGCTTTGGTACTGTGACCAGGGCCCCTGCTCCCTTGTGGCTGACCACCACCTCTCCCCTCTGCCCTGGTACTACAACCTGGAACTATGACTCAGAACAGTGAATGGGCAGTAGAGGTGCTAATCAGCACCAGCTATAGCCAGTGCCAGCAAAGGATCCCCCTGTAATCTCCTTCTTAACAGTTGTCTGACCCCCTTATCATCTCTGGGCTGAGAGCTCCCAAAGTTGCTGCTGCTGCCACTGTTACCGGTCACATGTGTAGACTCTCGCCAGGCCTCCACCCTGGTGCCACAGGTTTCTTCTGCTCATCTCTTAAGTTATTTTAGGTCAGAAAAATGTCTCACCCAACCTTTTGTTAGCTCTGCAACTCCAAAACCTGATTTGAGGTTTTATTTTAAAGTCATATGGAGGGAAATGTTGGGAGAGTTCAGTTGGGTGACTGTCCCTAATCCACCATCTTGGCTCCACTCTGATCTTCAAATTATTAATGGTCTCTTTGCCTTCTTATTGTCAATATGAAAGATTTTTTTTAAGTCAAACAGAAATATTCTTCCCCAACATCCACACACATATTCATGTCCTGACCTAGCCCTAGTCACCTAAAAATAAATTTTTTATTATTATCTGAAAGTATTTAACTTTATGCTGTTTGTTCTCCTTAGGTTCTTTTGAAGGAATAATTTTGGGTTCTCCCTTTTTATTGAATATTTGAGGGGGGCTTGTCATTTGTTTATGAAATGAAGGCTCATCTTTGTAGAAGATGTTATTTTGGGGCTATCCACCTATTTCTTATTGGAACAACATATTCCAATTTTTCCTTTGATTTCTTGTAAACACAAAATAATCCTATACTACTCTGATCGTTTTGCCTTGGAATGTGAATGCTTATTTTCTTTGCTGCCAACATGATTTGTTCTTTGTTATTGTAGAACTGAAATCTGACTACGTAGTTTCTTGGTCAGTTAAGTTTGTTGTTCTTTGTTTTTTTTTTCTGTTGGTGCTCAAAGGAATTTCACCCTGAACTTTGCCATGTGCTTCTAATATTTCTGAGCAATTTGAGGGTGATTTCTTGAGGTATCACATTCTGGTTCTCTTTTTCAACCTAGCTATGATTCTTAGATGATCTCTTTTCATCCTTTCTTCAAGTTCAATGTTTTTGTTTTATTGAATTCTCATATTCTTACAAACTTATTTTTCTTGGGTTTTCCCATAATTGTTTATGCTATCTATGAATTTTTAATTTCCAATTCTATTGTTTTCTTTCTTTTCTTATAATATAGAGAATTAGTATTTTTGGTTCTGTGTTCTGTATTTGTTGGATATACTTGCTGATTTCTTTCTTTCTTTCTTTCTTTCTTTCTTTCTTTCTTTCTTTTTTTTGGCTAGGCAATGGGGTTAAGTGACTTGCCCAGGGTCACACTGCTAGTGTTATATGTCTGAGGCTGGATTTGAACTCAGGTCCTCCTGACTCCAGGGTCAGTGCTCTATCCACTGTGCCACCTAGCTGCCCCAATTCATTTCTTAAATGCTCTAATTTTTGTATTTGTTTTGTTGATATCTTCCCTTATTTCTTTGTTCACTCTTCTAGTCCATTTTGTAGGTTCATCAAATTACTCCATTATTATTTCAGTGGACTTGTGGATTTTGTTGTGTAATCTTCATCTCCTCTTGGATCCCTTTTTCATAGGGATTACTATGTCAGTCTCAATAAGTGACCATTAAGGAAGTCCTAGAAGTTTTTATAGTTGAGGTGTTTTTAACCTTTTTTTTTTTCCATCATGGAGCCATTTGGCAGTCTTGAGAAATCTAGCAATCCCTTCTTCTAATAATGTTTTTAAATTTTTTTAAAAAATTTTAAAAATGTTTTTAAATGTTTTTAAAATGCCTAAAGTAAAATACATGGGACTGCAAAAGAAACTAAATATATTAGAATACCATTATTAAATATTTTTTAAAAATGTTAATGAACCAAAAATTTAGATCCCCTTCCCTAGAGTATTTATGGGTTTAATATAACTAATACAGTGTTAACTATAAGCAGAAGCATCAGGAGAACCTCAACATCAATAAGGAATGCCTTTCCAATTGGGCTTTGTAAAGCACATCTTCCATGGCACTAGAAAACAGATTTGGTGAGCATATGTCCTGTTTTAGGCTTTGATTGATGTTGACACTCTAAGTGTTGTAAAAATTGTTTTATACATACATACATATATATATATATATAATGATTAAACTTCTCAAGAATTTTTAAGAATTTTTTTAAAGTGAAACATATGAGTGCATATGTGTGTCCTTTTTCCTCTTTCTTTGACCTCTCTGAGATATACACTTAGTAGTAGTATCACTGGGTCTAAAGGCATGCATAGTTTAATAGCTTTTGGGCCTCAGTTCCACATTGCTTTACAAAATAGCTGGACCAGTTTAGAGCTCCACCACCAGTGCATTAAAGTACTTGTTTTCCCACAGTCCTTCTAGTATTTGTCATTTTCTTTTTTTTGTCCATTTAGCCAATATGTGTGATGTGAGCTATTTTAATTTATATTTCTGTAATTAGTGGTCAAGAGCATTTTATCATATGACTACTGATAGCTTGGCTTTCTTCCTCTGAAAACTATACACACACATATGTGTATATGTGTGTGTATGTATGTATATATACATGCATATATACATATGTACACACATACATATACATACATGAAACATAAATACACATAGTGTATCGTATGGGGTGTGTTCGGGGAGGACTAGCACGTCTGGTGAAAAGGTTTGCCAACCCCTGTTCAGAGCTGCTCATTCACCTATGGTGTCCATCTTTCACCCAGCTCTCACCTGTTGCTCCAAGAAGCTCTAGCATGTGCAGCAGCCACACCCTGGTAAAACCATCTCAGCAGACAGTCTAAGCCAGGCTGAGGGTAACTGATAGGCTTATAAACCCATCAGTGAATTAGAGGGATGTCTACCCCAAGCATGTGAGGGCTTCCCCCAACAGAATGGTTGGCTGAGGACAATTTGTTGTAACAGCCATGAAGGCAGCTAAAGCAGGCACTGTGGAACACTTAGTACTTGGTCAGACATCAAAGATGCCAAGGCCATCCACTGCATCCTGGCCATCACCAGTCATCTTGACTTTTGTCTTGCCACTGGATTTCAATGACTCTGGAAGAAAGAGTGAAGCTGACAACTTTGTGCAACTCTGACTCACTTAAATCCAATTCATATTCAAGTCAAGACATCACCCCGTGATGTCACTGATCCTCTCTGAAAATGAAAGACAAACAACAAGAATCTGTATCTTTTTATCAGTTCCCAACTAGGGAATGGCTCTTATTCTTATAAATCTGATTCAGTTCCCTATATATTATCTTAGAAGTAAGATTTGTTTCAGAAAAAAAATTACTGCAAAAATTTCCCTCCCAATTTCCTACTTCTCTTTTAATTTTAGCTACATTAGTTTTATTTGTCCAAAAACCTTTAAATTTATGTAATCAAAACTGCCAAACTTTTTATCTGTCTTGTTTGATCATGAATTTTTCCTCTGTCCCTAAGTCTGACAGGAATTTCTTCTGTACTCCTTTAATTTACTTATGATGTGTCACCCTTTTTATCTAAATAGTAGGCCTATTTGAAGGTTATTTTGGTATATAGTGGGAGATGTTGGTCTACACCTAGTTTCTGCCAGGCTACTTTCCAATTTTCCCAGCAGTTTTTGTCAAATAGTCACTTCTTGCCCCAATATCTGGGATCTTTGGGTTTATCAAACACTATGTTACTGTGCTTGTTTGCTTCTGTATATTGTGTACCTAATCTGTACCACTGATCAATCTCTATTTCTTACCCGATATTAATTTTTTAGATGATTTTTACTCTGTAGTATAGTTGAGGTCTAGCACTTCTAGGCCCCTTTTCCACTTTTTTTCATTAATTCCCTTGATATTTTTGACTTTTTGTTCCTCCAGATAAGTTTTGTTGTTATTTTCTTCTGCCTCCATAAAGTAATTCTTTGTTAGTTTGACATGGCTCTGCATGACTAAATTAACATAGATGTCATTATCGTGGTTATTATATTGGCTCAGCCTACCCATGAACAATTAATATTTCTCTACTATTATTAATTAAATATTGATATTTACATTTGTCTTTATGTAAATACTTGTTTCATAATAGTGTTTGTGTAGTTTCCATGTGTGTCTTGGCAAGTAGACTCTCAAGCACTTTGTACAGTCAGTATTTATTCTAAATGAAGTTTCCCTTTTGATGTCTTCCTGCTGTATTTTGTTGGTAATATACAGAAATGCTGATGCTAGTTTATTTTACATCCTACAACTTTCGCTGAGGTTGTTAATTATTTCAGTTAGTTTTTTAGTTGACTCTCTAAGGTCCTCTTAGGAAACCATGTCATTTGCAAAAAGTAATAGTTTTGTTTCTTCTTTGCCCATGATTAGACATTTAATTTCTTTTTCTTATCTGTTGCTACAGTTAGCATTCCTAGTACAATACTGAGTAGTAATGGTGACAATGGACATCTTTGCTTTACCCCTAATCTTATTAGACTTTTAGCTCATTCCCATTACAGATAATGATGGCTCTTAGTTTTAGATAAATACTACTTACCATTTTAAGGAATACTTCATTTATTCCTGTGTTTTCTAGTGTTTCTAATAGGAATAGGTGTTGTATTTTGTTTTAAAAAAAAGGTCTTTTCTGTATCTCTTGAAATAATAATGTGATTTTTGTTACTTTTGTTAATTAACTGTGCTCAATTTTGTTTATAGTTTTCCCTGAATTCTTGATATAAATCCAGTCGAGTCATAGCATATGATCTTTGTGATATATTGCTATGGTCTCTTTGCTGATACTTGATATAAATTACAGCCCTGCATTCTTTTTTTGGGGGGGTGCCGGGTTAGGCAATGGGGTTAAGTGACTTGCCCAGGGTCACACACCTAGTAAGTGTTACATGTCTGAGGCTGGATTTGAACTCAGGTCTGCCTGAATCCAGTGCTGGTGCTCTGTCCACTGTGCCATCTAGCTGCCCCACAGCCCTGCATTCTTGATATAATTCCAGTCTAGTCATAGTATATGATCTTTGTGACATATTGCTATGGTCTCTTTGCTGACATTTTATTTAATATTTTTACATCAATATTCATTAGGGATATTAACCTATAATTTTCTTTCTCTCTTTTGACTCTCTGATTTAGGTTTCATGGTCATATTTGTATCATAGAGGGAATTTGGTAGGACCTCTTCTTTTCCTGTTTTTCCAAACAGTTCATGTAGTCATGGAATTTATTATTCTTTAAATGTTTGGGAGAATTCACTTGTAAATCCATCTGGTCCTGGGAGTTTTTTGTTTAGGAGTTTATTTATGGCATCTTCAATTTCTATAAGATAGGATTACCAAAGTATTCTATTTCCTTTTCGGTTCATCTTGGCAACTTATACTTTTGTAAATATTAATCCATTTCATTTAAATTGTCAGTTTTATTGGCATATAGCTGGGTGAAATAACTTGTAATAATTGTTTTTATTTCTTGTTTGCAAATTTATGTTTTAAATCTTTGATACTAGTCATTTGATTTCTTTTTTAAATCAAAAATTTTAATGGCTTATCTATTTCATTTTTGGGTTTTTTTTCCTAAAAAATACCTGGTTATTTTTATTAGTTTGACTTTTTTAACTTTTAATTTTGTTAATCTCTCCTTTGATTATCAGTATTTCCATTTTGGTGTTTAATTGGAGGTTATAATTTGTTGATTTTCTAATATTTTAGTTGCATAGCCAATTAATTGATATACTCTTTCTTTTAATAATTAAAGTGTTTAAAGATATAACTTTTCCCCTAAGTTCTGCATTGTTTGCATCTCAAAAATTTTGTTATATTTTCTCATTGATGTCATTATCTTTCATGAATTAAATGGTTTTTTCTATGATTTGTCCTTTGACCCACCCATTCTTTAGGATTAAATTATTTAGTTTCCTATTAATTTTTAATCTTTGCTTCAGAGGCCCTTTATTGCATGTAATTTTTATTGTATTAGGGTAAATAAAATGTGCATTCAATAATAATGATTTTCTGCATGTTTGTGAGGTTTTTGTCCCCTAATATATGATCAATTTTTGTGTTTTCATGCATAGCTGAGAAATAGGTATACACTTTTCTATTTCCATTCAGTATTTTTTGGTTAGATTTATCTAGGCCTGAGGTGGGTAAATTGAAGTCCCATACTGATTTAGATTTACTGAATTTTTCCTCCTCTGACTCATATAACTTTTTCTTTAAGAATTTAGATGCTATGCTACTTGGCGCACATTGTCTGTGGTACCTTTTAGCAAAATGCATGTTTATCTCTTTTAATTATGTCTGATTTTGATTTTGTTTTGTCTGAGATCATAATTGCTACCTTTACTTTTTTTTTTTACTTCAGCTAAAGTGTGATAGGCTCTGCTCTAAGCCCTTATTTTAACTCTGTATGTATCTTTTTATTTCAAATATGTTTCTTGTAAACAACATTTTGTTGGATGCTGGTATCTTATCCATTTGGCTATCCTTTTCTGTTTTACAGGTGAATTCATCCCATTCAGATTTATGGTTATGACTACTAACTGTATATTTCCCTCAATCATATTCTTTTATACTTTTCCTTCTCTTTTTCCTTGCTACTTTTTTAAGACTTTGTTTTGCTTGTGACTAATACCTCCCTTAATCTACCATTCCTCTTTCTTTTAACTCTGTTCCTTCCTATTTCCCTGTTGAATAAGATGTATTTCTGTACCCAGTTGTGTTCCCTTGTGTATTCTTCCTTCCTTTGAGCAGTTCAGATGAGAATCAAGTTTAAGTGTCACCCTCTCCTCCCTGGTATTCCTTCCTTGTTGTATGAACTTTGCCTTGGGCACCGCACGTATGTAAGGTAATTATCATTCTTCCTCACCCTTCCACCCTCTTCCTATGTGTTCCTCTTCCTCATCTTTTCCATCTTCTCCTGAAATCATCAAAATATAGAAGAATCGCTCCTAGGCCTTCTGTGTAATTAGCCTCCTCTTATGACTCCGGATGATAATAAGAGTTTTGAGGGGGCTATAGGTATCATCTCCTCATATAAGAATACAAATAGCTTAACCTTTTTTAGTCCCTTATGGCTTCTCATTCTTATCTATATGACTTTTTTTTTTTTTTTGCTTCTCTTGACTCCTTTGTTCATATGTCAAATTGGTGCCCAGCTCTGATCTTTTCATCATGAATCTTTGGATATCTTCTATTTCATTAAATATCCATTTTTCCCTCGGTAGGATTCTAATTAGTTTTGCTGGACCGGTTATTCTTGGTTGTAAACCTAGATCCTCTGCCTTTTGGAATATCATGTTCCAAGCTCTCCACTCATTTATAGAGGGCATTTTTGAAGCAAAGGATGAAAAAATAATGGACCTTTACCATAGCATGTGCAACTTTACTATCATAAAATAATTTTATGCCATGATAAGTGGAACTTTCTAGAAATAAAATTATGAGCATTTATAAAAGATTAAAAAAATTTCCTTTGTAATCTTCCTCTCCTTTTCTCCACCTCTTTCCTCAGAATTATATAAACTCTGTGGCCTCATAACTCAGTAATACCATAAAACACCATGAAATAAACCACCTAAAATTACCATTTTTGTTTCTTTTCAAAAACTTTATAACTGCAAAATGACTTCTTAATAATGACTTGTTGGTGCTCCTAGCGGTAGGAAGGAAGGGAAGGTGTCTTTTCCAAACTTATGCTTTTGTAGATAAAATTATACATGCATTTTAACTTAAAATAGGAAGAAGAAGAGGGGGAGGAAGAGGAAATTTCAAAACCTCCTGTTCCAATATGGAAAGCTCAAAAAATTACTCCATTAACCCTCTACACACCACCTCTTCCTGAAGTACCACCACAATCTGACATAACACCAACACAAGAAGAGCCCCAAACATCTGAAGGTATTTAGTGTGCCCAGATTATTAAAGTTGTGCAAACAGTTTTCAGACTTCTCACAAATCCATTAAAACCCTATAGTTTACTATAAAGAGTGGCATGATCTTATTTTATATTAATTTTCTCTATTTTATTGTCTGTCATATTTCAGTTGGCGAAAAAGTTACTGCTCGACACCTTCCTGATGATTCAGGAATAGGTGAACTTGATGCAGAAGAGAATGCAAGAGAAGTTCTAGAAAGCCATATGTCTGAAGACATAAAACAAGGTAGAGATGAAATCAGAAATTATAATATGGATCAGCGTATCCTCCAGACACCAGAAAGAAGCAGCAAAATTAGTTATCACTAGCTAGTAAATGCTAGGTAAATGTTAGTTATTTTCACTGCAAATACCTTAATATTATGATCTTGAAGTGAAAGTAAATTCTCTTAAGAGAATACTATCACTCTGACAGCTATTACACTGCTTTTTTTTTTATCATAGCTCACAATAGACCTTCATGAAAAGAAATGGAATTTTCTCTCAAAATTGCAAAAAAAAACAATCAGTGAGCTTAATTAAATTATAAACTTTTATATTGGCTTTTATCAGGGGAAACAGTAAATTGAGAGACCTTTTGAGTGTGTATCATTCACAACCAAATAATTTCTTTCTGTCATCACTGACCTTTTAAAGGAAATATAGGTACTTGTCCATTGTAATTTAGAAAATTGTTCTACAAGTCTCAATTATGTACATTAATAATAGGAAGCAGTGGCATCAAACATCCAACCAATCCATCAATCAACAAGCACTTATTAAGCACCTACTATGTACTAAGCACTCTTCAGGACAGTGGAAATACAAGGACAAAATAAGGAATAGTCTTTGCCCTCAGAGACCCTACATTATACTGAGGGATATAACACTTACAGTCTGACCAAGTATATACTTAACTACACTTAGGTATATACTTAAATATAAGAAATATAAGTATTGGTATACTAAAGAAATGGTAGAGACAATGTTAATAATGTGAATTAAACTTAAAAGTGTGCAGTGTCTGTGTCTGTCCCCCACCCCAGAACCAGTTATTAATATTTATTAGCATACCTTCGCCCCTTTACTACATATATATACATCTTTAAACTTGTAAAGTGCTTTATAGATATTATTTCAATTTGTCTTCACAACGATCCTGGGAAATAGCTGCTACTATGATCTTTATTTTACAGTATGGAAACTAAGGGAAATAGAAATTAGATGACTTGCGTAGGGTCATACATCTAATAAGTGTTTGTTGAAGGAATTGAACCCAGGTCTTCTTGATTTTGTTTTATTTTGCTTTTTGGTGAGGCGATGGGGTTAAGTGACTTGCCCAGGGTCACACAGCTAGTGTTAAGTGTCTGAGGCTGGATTTGAACTCAGGTCCTCCTGACTCCAAGGCCAGAGCTCTATTCACTGTGCCACCTAGCTGCCCCCCAGGTCTTCTTGAATCTAGGTCTAGCTTTCACTATGCCAAACTATGTGCCTTACTATTTTTGTGTTTTATATTTGATACAGGAGTGAGGAAACTGCAGTGCCTCGAGGCCACATGCAGGTTCCCCACCCCTGTATTTGAACCTACCTCCTGAGAGAGCTTTCTGCTTTTTAAAACAACATGCATACTGTTTCACACATATATTCACCAAAGCCTTGCTAAATAATTTAAGAATTTTAAACTGCTTGAAATTAAACTGTATCTCCCTCGTATTTTTTTTTCCCCAACAGAAAGTGCTGAGGAGGAAGAAAAAGAAAGACAATCACAATCGTCAAATTAAAATGAACAAATCAACAGAAAAGGAGATTGTGTGCCAGGTTTCTAACATTATAATAATCTTACTTTATATAGTTCACTAAATTGGTTTAAATAAGCTAATAAACACTTTTAAGAAATCCTTTATTGCACATTCTTTAAACGAAAAAGCCCTGGATTATCTTTTCCCTGCTATAATGTATATGATAGTAAACTTGAAATCAGGAAGATGTGAGTTCAAATCCTGCCTCTTATACCCACAATGGGTACACTTTCTGGGACTACTTGCCTAACTCTCACTTGCACTCAAAGGTCAGGTCATCAGAAGGCATCTGACTTCTACAATCCATTGTTCTAGGGGTAAATAACTCTGAGCATCTAAGTTTTTCTGATATTTATAAGCTCCCATGAACTTCCTGTTGATTATCAGCCAAACTTAATGAGCTACTCTAAAGTGTATTTGCTAAGCACATATAGTAAGAACAGTTCTAGAAACTGTCTCTCCTCTTCCAGCCCGGAGGAACACTCCCTTTGCACACAAAAGCTCTCTTTACAAGTTTAAAGATGTATATAAATGTAATAAAGGGGCAGAGGTATGCTAATAAATATTAATAACTGGCTCCCTGGGGGGAGGGAAGACACAGACACTGCAGTTTAATTCACATGATTAGCATTGTCTCTATCATTTCTCAAGTATACCAATACTTACATTTCTTACATTTAAGTATATACTTAAGTGTAGTTAAGTATATACTTAAGTATATTTCTTATACTTAAGAAATGATAGAGGCAATGTTAATAATGTGTCTATATATAATATCTATACTAAAAAAATTTTTTTAATTTAAAAAGGGACATAAGCACTCACCCTGATGATTCAACAATGGATTCTCATAAGCTAGTATGAGGAGGCTCTAGCACGTCTCTGTAAAGGGGTAACGCTTATCCTGATTACTAGGAGTCTTTTTCTCCCTTCATAGAGTCCTAATGAAGTTTCCCTTAGTTGTAGCTGTCTGAGGGGCATCAAGATTGGTACTTCTGTAGCATCCATAACCTATTTAGGGGTCATGCTTCTTCCTCATCGTGTCTGGTTTGACCCTAAGGTGTCTCTCAGCTCTCAGTACAGACACTGCCATCATCCACCGCTGTTCCTAAGATGTCAGTACCATTCCACTAATTTCCATGTTCATAAGTAGGAAAGGAGAGCAGAGAAAAAGAGAGAAACTCTCCCCTTTCCCTGGGGCAATTCCCTCTCTGGTGTCCCTTTCTACTGGCTTCCACGACCACTGGGGGCAAGTCATTTGATCTCTCTGAGCCTCACTTTCTTCCTCAAAATAGGAATACGCATATCTATAGCGCCGACCTTACAAGGTTTGTTATGAGGCTGAAATGAGCTTTACATACAATAAAGCATTTTGCAAACTTTAAAGTGCCATGTATGTCTGTCTATTACTACCGCCACTTCTTGAAGCCTTAGCCAATGGCACACAAAGTGTGGTAGGCCCTACCTAGCTACAAAGGCTTTAAATATGTGAGCTGAGGGACAGAGGCCCAGCTCAGTTTGGAAAGGCTCATCATCATAAAGTTGACCCCCAAGTTATAAATTATTTTAGCTACAGCAATTCATGAAGTTCATCTTAAGACTCAGAATATTGAGTCTGTGCCAGGCAGTGAAGAAATGACTCAAACCAATGAAATCTTGGATGTTTTGGACCTTTCTTTTTTTTTTTTTTTTGTGAGGCAATTGGGGTTAAGTGACTTGCCCAGGGTCACACAGCTAGTAAGTGTTAAGTGTCTAAGGCCAGATTTGAATTCAAGTCCTCCTGACTCCAGGGCCAGTGCTCTATCCACTGCGCCACCTAGTTGCCCTGTTTTGGACTTTCAAAGCAAAAAGTTCCATGTAAATCTGTATAAGATATAAGTTCCTAGAAGAGATTTAAAGGAAGTCATAAAAAATAGCTTGATGAATTGCACCTGAAATGATATGCCAGTCATTATGAGTATCTGCAAAATACAAACTAATGTTATTTATACTCAATCGATCATGTCTCAGTCCTGGGTGTTTTTTTTTCTTTCTTTTTTTTTTTTTCTAGAGGCAATGGGGGTTAAGTGACTTGCCCAGGGTCACACAGCTAGCTAAGTGTCTGAGGCCAGATTTGAACTCAGGTCCTCATGATTGCAGGGCCAGTGCTCTATCCATTATGCCACCTAGCTGCCCTCCTGGGTTTTTTCTTTTTAACATTAGATAATTCTTTCCTAATTGTTACCTATAAAAGTCTGTATATTAAATTGAACTCATAATAACATCTTTTTCATCAGCTATTATACGAGTACTAAAGGAGATAGGTGACACAGTGGATAGTCAGTAGGCTTGGAGTCTGGAAGACATCTTCCCGAGTTCAAATCTGGCCTCAGACACTTATTAGTTATGTGACCCTGGGCAAGTCACTTAACCCTGTTTCCTCATCTGTAAAATGAGTTGGAGAAGGCAAACCACTCCAGTATCTTTGCCAAGAAAACCCCAAACAGGATCACAAAGAGTCAGACATGACTGAAATGACTCAAGGACAACAAAAATTGTGAGACTGAATGTAGAAGGAATGTTTTTTGAGAAATTTTGAAGGAAAATTCAAAAGGGCATACTGAATATAAGAGATGTTGGAGACTTAAGTCAAAGATAGGAAAACCAGCTTAGAAGGCAAAGGGAGGAAGATGAGTTTGGTTTGAGAAATTTGAGTTTGAGGTGATAGTAGGAAGTAGAAAGATGACTTTTTTAAAGTGTGGCAAACACCAACAACAATTATTCATTATCACCATCATCATCATCATCATATTAACTAACATTTATATAGTACTTACTATGTGCCTCGCATTGTGCTTTACAATTATTATTTGATTTAATCTTCATAACAACCCTGGGAGGTAGGTACTGCTATTATCCCCATTTTACAGATGAGGAAACTGAGGTAAATGGAGTTTAAGTGACATACCCGGGGTCACACAGTTATTATGTCTGAGGCTGGATTTGAACTCAGATCTTCCTGAATCCAAATAATTTATGTATATTGCAAGTAGTACATTCTTGGAGATCTTCCGAGAGAAGGATAATTAAATTCCTAGGCTGCAGATATCATATAATCTAACAAACAGAAACTTCTTGAAAGTGTACATGTATAATATAGTGGCAAGACAAAATTAGCTATTTTCAATAAGAAAAAAAACAGATTTTTTGAAAAATCATTTCTGTGACTGGAAGGACTGCTTGCCACATAAAAGGTTTTTTTGTAGGATTGCTAAGTATAAAAAGCCTCACTTGACAGGAGAAACATTTATGCTATCTGCAGCTATTGATATAATTGAAACTATGCATGATTAACATAAAACATGGTATTCAAAATGAAGCAATGTGGTTTGAATGGTTCCACTTATAAACAATAAGGTTAGAAAGAGAATAGTCCATACATCTTAAGAATTTGGGGATCAGTTGCTCTAAGATGAATTAATCTGAAAAACAAAAATCTTCTGATTTTGCAATGCTAGTAGATGAAGCAATAAATGTAGTTAAAGAGGTTCATTTGATTACATATGTATTGATACATATGATATTGAAATTCATGCGGTGGGGGGGGAGGATAGGACTTTGTTTTTTGCTAGGTGATGGGGTTAGTGACTTGCCCAGGGTCACACAGCTACTTAAGTGTCAAATGTCTGAAGCCTGATTTGAACTCAAGTCCTCCTGACTCCAGGTCCACTACTCTATCCACTGTGCCACGTAGCTGCCCCCTGCTCATCATTTCTTATAGTACAATAGTATTCCATCACATTCATATACCACAACTTGTTCAGCCATTCCCTAATTGATGGGCATCCCTTCAATTTCCAATTCTTTGCCACCACAGAAAGGGTTGCTATAAATATTTTTGAACATGGGGGTCCTTTTCTTGTTTTTATGATCTCTTTAGAATACTGACCTAGAAGTGGTACTGCTGGGTCAAAAGGTACGCACAATTTTATAGCCCTTTGGGCATAGTTCTAAAGTGTTCTCTAGAATGGTTGGATCAGTTCACAACTTCACCAACAATGCATTAGTGTTCCAATTTTCCCACATCTTCTCCAACATTTATCATTGTCCTGTTTTGTTATGTTAGCCAATCTGATAGATGTGATGTGGTAACTCGGAGTCATTTTGATTTGCATTTCTCTAATCAATAGTGATTTAGAACATTTTTTCATATGACTATAGATAGCTTTAGTTTCTTCTTCTGAAAACTGTTCATATCCTTTGACCATATATATTAATTAGGGAATGACTTGTATTCTTACAAATTTGACTCAGTTCTCTATATACTTTAGAAATGAGGCCTTTGTCAATTGTTTCCCCGTTTTCTGTTTCCCTCCTAATCTTGGTTTTGTTTGTACAAAAACTTTTCAATTTAATGTAATCAAAATTATCCACTTTGCATTTCATAATGTTCTCTATCTCTTGTTTGGTCATAAATTCTTCCCTTCTCTATAGATCTGAAAAGTAAACTATTCCTTACTCTCCTAGTTTGCTTATAGTATCAGTCTTTATATCTAAATTCTGTATCCATTTTGACTTTATCTTGGTATAGGGTGTAAGATGTTGGTCTATGTCCAGTTTCTGCCATACTATTTTCCAGTTTTCCCAGCAGTTTTTGTTAAATAGTGAGTTCTTATCCCAGAAGCTAGAGTCTTTGAATTTATCAAATAGTAGAATAGTATAATCATTGATTGTTGTGTCTTGCATACCTGACCTATTCCACTGTTCTACCACTCTCTTTCTTAGCCAGAAGAGATGTATTTTTAACAAAATAAGAGATAGAAGTAATTACAAAAGAATAAACAGGTAACTTTGATTACTTGAAACTGTAAAGATTCTACAGACAATCTTAATGCATTCTATAGGATAAGAAGGGAAATGGTCAAATGGGAAAAAAAATCTTTGAATCAAATCTCTATTTCCAGAGAAATTCCTAATTTCTTCTTTTAAAAATTTTATTTCTCTTTTGAACAATTCTGGAATTTCTTTTGCTATGAA